CCGAAAGCTCGGAAGCCTGTCCAAGCTCAGCTTTTCTGTCGCTATAGAAGTCAGTAGTTCGATCATGTCGTTTCGGTAGGAGGTTCTGAGTGTTTGCAGTGGGGCCTGCGTGGTAGGGGCACTACTTGGAGGTGAAACCCTAAACCCTAAACCCTAAACCCTAAACCCTAAACCCTAAACCCTAAACCCTAAACCCTAAACCCTGAATTAGGGAAGCTTGGGGAAGCGCGAGTAGTGGGGAGTAGTAGTGAACCTTGGGCTCTATGCCCTCCTGGAGCCAGCCTCCCTTAAGAGGGTTTAGGGTTTAGGGTTTAGGGTTTAGGGTTCGTAAGGTCAGCTCTCTAAGGTTCCGGTTTGTCCGTAGCTCTGACCCGGCCCATGACACCTTTGAGGTGTTCAAGAAGGGCTTGAGGTTCCTAGGTTAGGGTTTAGGGTTTAAGGTTTAGGGTTTCGGATTTAGGGTTTAGGGGGGATTCGAGTCTCGGGCCCCCCCAGCCCAAACCGACCCATCGCAGGATTGAGGCACCATGGAGAACTTGATGCAACGATTTCCGGACAAGAAGCGCCGCGGATGAGACAAGGGGGGGGTTTAGGGTTTAGGGTTTAGGGTTTAGGGTATAGGGTTTAGGGTTTAGGGCCTGGAAAGTCAGGTTGGGTGCTTGTGGCTACTAAAGGGGTCGGAATCATTACTAAGAGTCTTCCCTTATGGTCCCTTGACAAGTATACTATCACAACACGCCAAAACCCTGTTTGGGATTTGGGGATTGGGGTTTAGGGTTCAGGGCCTAGGGTTTAGTGTTCAGGGCTTCGGGTTTTAGGGTTCAAGGCAGAGGGTTCCCAGGGGTTTAGGGTTTAGGGCTTAGGGGTTTGAGTTCTGTGTGAATCTTTTTTCGTATCTTCATGGTATGGGATTGATATGGTACTTTTCGGGCGCCTGAAGAGCTGATGAACTAGTGAAGGCTTGAACTTGAGATGCTAAACCCTAAGCCCTAAAACCCTAAACCCCTAAAACCCTAAAACCCTAAAACCCTAGAACCCTAAAACCCTCAATCCTTTGAAGCCCGACATCCCTCAATACCGTAGTCCCCCTTGATGTCTTGCAAACCCGTAATCCCTGCTAAATCCCTGTAAACCCTAAAGCCCCTTAACCAAAACAAAGACTAAATCCGACATCCCCGTAAATCCCTAAATCCCGTGAAGTCCTACAGATATGGGGCAAGGAAGCACTTTCTGTCCACAGCACCGCAAGCCACGGCTGCTGCGTCTCCATCTTATAGAGTTTTTAGGGATTACATGGGTTATGGGGCTTCAGGGTTTATGGGGTGTTGTAAGGCTTGTGGGGTTTTAAACGGAGGGCCTGGGGAGTTTTAAAATCGGGCTCGTAGTGGAGCGTGTAGGGCTTGTAGGGTTTAGAGTTGCCACCGTCTCAAGGTATGATGTGACGAACTACGTCGAGAGCTTCTTGGACCGTTCAGGGTTTGGGGTTCAGGCTAGGGGGGTCTCTTGTGAACTCTAGACCGAACACGTAAACTCCAAACCCCGCTAAGGCCTAAACCCGAAGCCCTGGACCCGAGGACCCGAAATACCCGTAATTCTTAGGGTTTAGGGTGTAGGGTTTAGGGTTTAGGGTTTAGGGTTTCGGTGCACTTCTTCTCGGTCTCAGGGTTTATAGTTCAGGTGTTTGGGGTCTTTCGATACGTCGGGCCTGGGGACCATTTAGGGGGTTCGGGTAGGACAGTTGTGGGAGGGCTGTTTCCCCAAACTAACTCTTTGACAAGGCCTCACGGCCCCCGTTGCCAAGGGCATGCTATTTCTTGGGTGAACTGCCAGGAGCGCAAGTGCCCTAACTTCACAGCTCCCAAGCAAAGAGGATTGGAGGGCAGACGAACTTCTGGAGAAAAAATCTGGAAAAACTAAAGCTGGAGGGGGGGGGGGTCGCTTCCGATCAGAATTGCAGGGAAGACACGAAATAATCCGGAGCACTTAGGGGCCTGCCCTCCCTTGTAAGACAGATCCTCACGATGACGGGCCAATTTTTGATGGGATGCTCGAAATACCGAGCCAGCAGGCTCCCTATGCTCCGAAGCCATCAAGTGCCCTAAGGCCAGAAGTGCTAAACTCACAAACCCTGAAGATCCCCAAATTAGGTTAGGGTTTAGGGTTGTGGGGTTCAAGGCTTAGGGGCTCAGGGATGAAACTAAGCCCAAACCTTAGCCCCAAGCCCAAGACGCCTAAAGTCCAGATATTATCCACAGAGAACCCTCAACGCTAAACCCTGCACCCTAAACCCTAACCCCTAAACCCTAAACCCTAAACCCAGTTGAGCAACCTGAGGCATTTGCCTGCTCTGCTGGTGCCCCTGTATGGGATGGAACAGCAAGTCTCTCATTCTGCATCTCGGCCTGGTTCTTTAGCCCTAAACCCTAAACCCCAAACCCCAAACCCTAAACCCTAAACCCTAAACCCTAAACCCTAAACCCTAAACCCTAAACCCTAAACCCTAAGGGTTGCGGTTCACAGCTTTCTGGCTTCCGAGGCATTTCTGGGCTAGCCCTTGCCACCCTAGAAACCCCAGAAGCCCATAATCTGGAGGGGCTGGGCCGCCCTCCATCCCTAAACCCTAAACCCTAAACCCTAAACCCTAAACCCTAAACCCTAAACCCTAAACCCTAAACCCTAAACCCTAAACCCTAAACCCTAAACTCTAAACCCTAAACCCCCTACAGCCCACGAAGCCCTCTAAACTCTAAGCTCTAAAAAACCCAGCAGCCCAGGCAAAGCGAGGAGGTGCTGTACAAGCGAAGGCCCTCCGAGGGTTCAGGGTTTAGGGTTTAGGGTTTAGGGTTTAGGGTTTAGGGTTTAGGGTTTAGGGTTTAGGGTTTAGGGTTTAGGGTTTAGGGTTTAGGGCTTAGGGTTTAGGGCTTAGGGCTTAGGGCTTTCAGGTTTAGGGTTTAGGGTTTAGGGTTTAGGGCTTTACGGTTTTCACATGAACCTTGCGCCGTGCATCATCATGGGACCTTCGACCGCGGACCGTGAAGCATGTTGGGGAGTCCAGGTTGCAAGACAGCGCGTACATCTGCAAGACCCCAGCTAAGCCGGTGCAAGGTCTAGGGCTTGGGGCTTAGCTTGTGGTTTAGGGTTTAGGGTTTTTGGGTTTAGGGTTTAGGGTTTAGGGCTTGGGGCTTAGCTTGTGGTTTAGGGTTTAGGGTTTAGGGTTTAGGGTTTAGGGTTTAGGGTTTAGGGTTTAGGGTTTCTGAAGTTAGGGTTTAGGGTTTAGGGTTTCTGAAGTTAGGGTTTAGGGTTTAGGGTTTCGGGTTTAGGGTTTGGGGCTTAGGGAAGACTGAAGACCAAGCCATAAACCCTCAGGGTGGGCTGTTTGTCTCCATAAGCCTCGTTAACATACCACAGCCTGCCCCCCCCCCATTCTTGAAGCTGCCCTGCCTTCGACCCTAGAAGCCCTGAGCCCTTTCCCTAAACCCTAAACCCTAAACCCTAAACCCTAAACCCTAAACCCTAAACCCTAAACCCTAAACCCTAAACCCTAAACCCTAAACCCTAAACCCTAAACCCTAAACCCTAAACCCTAAACCCTAAACCCTAAACCCTAAACCCTAAACCCTAAACCCTAAACCCTAAACCCTAAACCCTAAACCCATGAGCCATCGCGGCTCCCGCAAAGGGGAGCCGAAGGTTCATGCAAGAGCTTCCAGCCCACGCTGCCGCCAGGAATCTCTGCTGCTCTGGAACGCAGAAGCGGCCCTACGCCCAACTCGGCCGCTCTCTCCCGCAGTTGCTTAGGGTTTAGGGTTTAGGCTTTAGGGTTTAGGCTTTAGGGTTTAGGGTTGCTTTTGTCGCTCCATGGGGTGGGTTTGGAGTTGAAAAGGGCCAGGTTTACACCCTAAACCCTAAACACTCCCGAAGCCCTGAAGCTGAAACATCCCGAAACGCTAGACCTTAAACCCTTCGAGGGGTTTAGTGGGTAAAGCCCCAAAGCCTAGATCCCCAAAATCACCTGAACTCTTTGGGTTAGGGTTTAGGGCTTAGGGCTTAGGGCTTAGGGCTTAGGGCTTAGGGCTTAGGGGTTAGGGTTTAGGGTTTAGGGGTTTAGGGTTTAGGGTTCGGGTTCAGGGTTTAGGGTTTAGGGTTCAGGGTTTAGGGTTTAGGGTTTAGGGTTTCGCGCTACTAGGGTTCAAAGAACCCTATAGAACAGAGGTTCCGTCGAGCTCCACGACTCCTGCTGCGGCATGTGCGCGCCGCCCTCAGTTGGATGCTCAAATAGGACCCGGAGTAGGCCCTTGTGCCCTTTTTTAGGGTTTAGGGTTTAGGGTTTAGGGTTTAGGGG